GGCTGTATTGGCGTCAGGCAATGGAGTAGATTTTGGTAAACAACACAGTATATTAAAAAAAAAAAAGACCAAGTGCAAAACCAAAGGAAAAAAAACCAAAACAAATCAAAGAGAGGCCACAGAGTGTTACTTTCTAGCTGTCAATAGTAACTGTGACATTTCATAGCCCAATTAATTATTTGTGGCACATGCTGTTAATGTTAAACGTGTTTGTGAAGTTTAGGGCTTGTCAACAATGCTTACTGCTGTCAGTTGCACCAAAACAGACAGAGGCTAGACATCCAAGAAGGAATCACAACACCTCACACATAGCCTGTGTACCAACAGCATCCCATCCATTCATCACATTCTCTCCAGGTGATTTCTACACTGCCTCTCTGGTATGAATGTACCAGCTTAATACTGCTTCAAGTTGGAGTCTTCGTATAGACACTCCTGTGCCTACAAAGTAGACACAGAGCTTAGTAACATCAGATGAAACAGCAGGCTCACCTCAATTTCTTAAATAGAAAGTCAGCATAAACTCTGGACTCCCAGAAATCCCTGTGTGTACATATGCACACATGTGCTCCGTATGCCCTGCGGTCCCACCCATATAGAACGCATACGCTTCCACCACTGGGATGACCTCAGTCATTGATTGCTGCTCCCTCAAAAGCCTTCTGAGCAGCAGTTTGATGCTGCTTTGTCACACATAGCTTCCTGCATGTAGTTATAGAAATTAGAATTGCTGCATTTTCTCTGTAATGGTTGCTGATCATAAGCAGGATAGCAACACCTTGTTGTCAGTACAGTACTGGTACAGTCTTAGAGTGGACTGGATTTTCTTTAAGCCACCTGCAGTTCTCCATGGAAATCAATGTATGGTACCCAGACAGCCTGATATGCTTCTGATCGACACTGAACATCACTGCAGTAACAGCTATTTATTGCATTAGTAGGCATGACAGACTCTCTAGAGAGATGTTTCATCAGCCCTGTTTGGTAGAGACCACTATCAATCAAAAGCAAAAGGCGACTACAACTATATGTTGGCATGTTGGTTATACAAAAGCAAGCACATCTTGTTGTAGAGATGTGGAGTATTCACGCAGTTTCTGAAGTTAGACCACATCTTTTGGAGCTTGAATCTGAAATAACATTGTAGACATCCACTTTTGAGTCTGGGCTCAAATGACCACATGCATTTTCATGCAGGCAAGACTGCAATGAAAATTCAGGAATGTGATGCACTTCCAATTATGTATTGGAAATGATACACCATGTAGTAGTGTCATATTTTTCAGTCTTTCTGGATCTCAGCTGTTTTTTTGCCCCTAATACCATTCAAAGATCTATTTACTGAAAGAGCCCATAAGACAAACATCAACCTTGCAGAAACAACGACTGAAGTGCAAGAGGCCCTCTGAACTCTATGAAATATTTACAGACAGCTTTAGGAGTGCTAGGATGAAGTAAAGTACTTTCAAGTGTAGGCAGAAAACATAATGGATATCAAAATGCTTTTGTAGCCCTTGGTGAGATTTGTTTTCACAGACCTAGCTGCAGCATGAGAAAATGTATGAGATCATCCCATCTGCTGCCTCTTCTTCCAAGAGGGAAGTGGTCCCTGGGCTCTGTTTTGTAACACTTCACTCAGTCTAGCTCTGACTGCCTCTGATAAAAAAAAAACCATAACATACCTCTAGGGAGCCTTCTCAGTTTTTCCAGATATCTTACCTTGTGGAGTTTTTAGCAGTATCCCACCCAGAACAGTTTAACATGGTATTTATAAAGATACTTCAGTGTCAAGATCGTTGATTTCATATTTAGCACCGTGCACAAACCTAAGTAATTCCTCAGCCAGTGTGCTGGTCATGGCCTTTAGGTATCTGTTGTAGTGTTCCTCATCATTTAAGCACACTAGAGCTGTGCTTTGCTCTTGCTGAGCCTTCATAAGAAAATACTTTCTAATGTTTTCAAGTCTGTTCCTTCCTGTCTGCTCTTAAGACATGTTATCATTATACTGGAGGAAAACTGAAAAGGAGAATAAGAGTAAGATGTCTTTCATGCTATTCCAGATGTGCAGGCATGGAAAGATCCAATTAAAATATCCAGCCCATTTGCAGTATTTCATTCTCACCTCTAGAATTTATGATAATGCTTTTTTTTTTCCCCCCCACTTCTGCTTCCTCTTACATTTCTAATATGTCTTATCTTAACAATATCATCAACTCTCTCATTGAAAATTCTCACTGAAAGAAAAGCCTGAAATGCACAGGGGTACAAGTCTTACTGTGGCAAGACTAAGCTGCTCTTTACTTGGGGTTCTCCTAGGGTAAATTCCCATCCTAAAAGCAGCTTACCATCATGACACCATTGACGAAGCTTTTATAAAACATACAGATTACTGCATGTTGTGGGGTTATTTTTTGTTTGTTTTGCTTTCTTTTAAGAAAAAAGAAAAGATGCTAAAATGGCCTTCAAGTAGTGGAGGAATGTGTACACGTGCTTTAAAATTTCCTAAGTATTTACAATTGAAGAAGAATTATTTTCAAACTGTGTGACCACATTAATTTACCACAGCTTATTTCAAGTGCTAACGATGTCATCAACTTCATCAACTCCCTCATGAAAAAGCTCTCTGAAATAAAGCCTTGAAATGCAAAGAGGCACAAGTCCTACTAAGGCCAGACTAAGCTGCTCTTTACACGGGGTTCTCCTGGGGTAAATTCCCATCCTAAAAGCAGCTTACCATCATGACACCATTGACTAAGTGATCATTATTCTAAATTTACTCTTGAGGAAATGCTGTCAAGTAAGACAATACATTTGCCTTACTGTTAATAACTGTAACCACAGCACAACTTAGTAGCAGTCAGGTGCATTTCAGTAAAATTAGTGCATTGGTTTAATAGGTAGAATGGACACCACATTCGGAGAAACTGCCTTTAAGTTAGTATTTTCCTGAGCAGAGCACGTGCCTGTATTTTTGCACACTACTAAGTGTAACAAAAAACACTGCTTTGGTTTGTTCCACTATTATAAAACATGTTGACTTCTGCTGCCTGCAGGACTTTCAAAACTAACAGGTCCAGCAATAGCTGCACTCTCTGTAGGATATATAGCAACTAGGTTGGTTCTTTTACAAAATAACTTTTGATTATGAAGGAAGTTCTCAGCAGCTACAACTATACTATACTGAAGACAGACTTTATAACTAGAGACAAACAGAACACAAGGAGGTACAAAACCAGTTGTTACAGTTAAAAAATAAATAAAACCTTCATTTATTTACATGATACAGAGGAGTACACCTTAGTAGCATTTAGATACCTTGTTTTCTAATGCCAGTACCTGTCTAAACTCAGTACTGCTACTCCTGTCACAAACCAACAGAAGCTGAGGAAACTAAGCTGGCATGTGAGATAGAGCACACAACATGTAATCATGGAATCACAGAACAGCGTGGGTTGGAAGGGACCTTAAAGCCCACCCAGTCCCAATCCCATGCTGTGGGCAGGGCCACCACCCACCAGATCAGGCTGCCCAAGGACTCAGGGATGGGGTATTCACAGCTTCTCTGGCCAGCTTGTTCCTGTGCCTCACAACACTTCAGGTGAAGAATTTTCCCCTAATATCTAACCTAAGCCTCCACTTTTATGATTTAAAGCCATTCCCCTTTGCATATCCTCTGCCTGTTCTTGCTCATCTTTAATAGAGGGCAGCAGTGACACTTAATTAACCTGTTCAGGATTCAGAAGAGGTTAGGGGTAGGGCTCTCAGTTACTCCCTCAGAGATCACTTATCTGGATTTATTCCGATCGAGAATTAAAATATCCATCTAAACATTTGCCAAGGACAGTCAGCTCATAACCTCAGGAAGAGTGAATTCTGTAACAAAACATAGAGTTCAAATGGTGAAAAGAATAATTGCAAAAGGAAAATAAAAATAAAACCGAGCCTTATTATTAGTACATAAAATGGATATGACACTATACTGACAGTTCTAAGAAGTTAAGTTTTCTCATCCTGCTCCTGTGAATATGGGTGAAACTCTACTTCCCCTCCCAAATATACACACTGGGTTAGTATCTGTCATGATGTTTCAAAACTGAATTTCAATTTGTGGAAGTGCTGCAATTCACAAAAAGTAGTCCTTTTCAGGGCAGTGTCTATTATTAAATAATAGAGTGATAGTTAGAAACTAGGAAAGTGCCTATCTCTATCCCACTCGTGGAGTGAAGAAAACAGTTCTGGAACAGAATAGTTGCACTCCCAGCAAGTAATGAGACTTCCAATGAGACTGGAACAAATTCAATGCTGAACCATCATTATTCTAATCATCTCAGAAGAGTGGAAACAACCATTTTTTAGAAGATGTAATTCTAGATAATAAATACCACAGAAGAAAAATTATGAACAATTAGGCAGGGGAACTCTTTCTGTACTCACACAGTTTTTTCTTTTAAAAGTTCTGATTGTTCTTTAAAATGACTTCACTCTATCCACTTTGCTTTCATAAACATTGCAGAATGGGGATGAACGCCAACGATTCATTGTCTGTGTTTATTTCACAGCTGTTCACTTAACAAGCCTTTTTGGATACTTTGCTGTGTGTTCCTAAAGTATGCTCCCAGTGTGATGCTTTGATTCCAAGGGTAGGTTTTCTCTGTCAGGTTGCAGACAAAGGGGCTCGTTATTGCTGATTAGACCAACAAGGCTTTCACTTTCCCGTGCACAACAAGAGCTCCTTACAATCCATAAATATCCAGGTGGTTTGAGCAGACAAGACCAGATCTGATCCTCAGCTCCAATTAGTATTACACTGCTGAATCCATACTATGTCTAGCGAAGACACAGGATAGCTGTGGCATTCACTGCTCTCCATAGACTGTAGATGCTGAGTCCTTAAACAGACTAAACGGAGATTCAGAAGGATAAACTTAGCAGATCTATTAGGTTGTGTAAGCATTTTATATATAATACTCAAATAAACAGGATTCCTCACACACCCAGAGTTTAAGATTGTGTATACTTTACTGGAGCAGAAATACAATCAATTTTTGCTGTGTGCATACTTCACTGTGTATGTTTATATATTCACAGGAAAACAAAGCTTGCTGCTGGTGTTTTCCTCTTTAAAATGCAGAGAAAATATTTGATTTTCAGTTTAATTTCTGAAGATGCCAAGTCCTGGCCAATATAGCTGCTGCTACTACAGGCACCAGCAGTCTGCAGCTGCCACAGTTAAGTAGACTCCACAGCATCTCCAAGTACAACCTTTAATTCAATTGGCACTAGTTGAATTCATAACATTGGTAAAGGAAAAATGTGAAGCCATTACAAATTTATGTAAATCCATCAATTTCACCCATCAGACAAGCCCCTCTAAAAACACATTTCAACAAGCTTGGTTTAGAAGTGGCCCCAGGTTAGTAGTTACCTACTTTAGAATGACTCCGTATGCAAAAATTAAGCACACCCCAAGCTTACTGTGCAATGCTTTATGCCCCAGTCATTCTAAGGTTTGAATAGCTCTCCTTCAGAAGCTCAGGGCTGTTCCTCTAGGTTTCTGGGGCCTGGAAATTAAAGATGCAGTTTCAAGGCACTTCTGGGCAGGATACATATGTGGTCAAACAAAGCAGCAGAGTTACATTCTATACTTTGTGTTCCGTGACAGTGAGTGACAGGTAAAGATGGTATATACATGTAATTATTAACAACAATAAAGGAGCATAGCTATAAAAAAAAAAAAACTTAGTGCGTATCTATAAAATTGCTTTGTACCTTTTGAAGCACTTCACGAGTCCTCTAGGCAACTGGACTGTATTCAAAATCCTTTTACATTATGTTTAAATAATGTATGTTAAATATTAAACACATATTTTAATTAGCAGAGTCCTGAAAGCAGCTTCAGCCCTCATTTTTCAGTTGCTTCTATGGCAGTATCTAAATATTCAAGGTACAATGAGAGTGCTGCAGGCAGGCAATGGAACATCAAGGATTATCCAGTGCAAAACCACAGATTCTAACAGCAACTTTAAAAAGATGATCAATGTTAAAGCTACCTGGAGCAAAACTCAACCTAACAGGCAAGATAGTAAGCAGCAGAAGTAGGAAACATTTTTTTTTCTTTCTGTGGTCAAATGCAAAACAGCACTGATAGCAAGGCAAGAAAGTAAAAGAGGAAAAAAAAGAGATTCTGGATTTTCCAGATCCAGAAAAACTGGAACATGGCTGCTGATGTATCCAAGAAAAACACAGAGACTTTTTTTCTTTTCCAACTATTGTTGTTACTAGTTGGGTACAGGAAGGGTCTCATGATAAACAAATGTGCTACAGCATCCAGAATATTTCAAATACAGGAATTAATAACACCCAGCAAAACACTAAGACCCAAATGCACTCCCAAGGTGGACTCCAGTATTTCACAACGTGTTTCTTGTGCTCCAAATGAAGCTCGCATACTAAGCCCCCTCCATCTGGGAGCAGAAACTGTGGGTTACAGGTGTTCTTCAGCTCTTCCACAGTTGTTATACTGTCCAGTGAGCACTATTTCTTCTTGAGAGCCCTCTTTCCTTCGCCCTTCTTTGGTTTTTCCTTTCCACGGAGCTTTTTCAACCGCCTCATCTCCTCTTTGAAGTCTTGATGCTCATCTCTAAGTGGGGAAGAAAAGAAAAAGCTGCTCTACTTCTTGGAATATCTAGATGGAAAAGCTCCTTTGAACCTCATGATAATGAAAAAAATATACATCAACTTTCTCAAACAAGAAAGTTCATACTGGAACACAATGCAATACTGGAACACTGTGCTACTGCTAGCAGTAATTTTGACTGAAATAATGCGAAAGAATTGCTCTGCATCTTTCAGAACTAGCAAGGTTGCTCTTTTCAGCAAGAAACAGGGTGTGTGTATGTCCATATTCACACTTGTGTGTGTATGCATTTCTTACAGTGTTCTCACTTACTCATTCAAACACAATGGAAAACAAAAAAAATGAGCAAGGATGAGAATTTCCCTCTTAGCATCTAACCCAGCAGTTTAGCACACTGCTTTTAGATGCTCTACACTAAGTTCAGGTCATTAGCTTCTAAGAAGAGAGGGGCCCATGGAGCAATAATTAGTACATGACACCGCTCTCAGGCGACTTCAACAATGAGTTATGAAGAAAGCATCAGCTCCTGTAGACCCTTAACGGGAAAATAAAACAGAGGAGGAGGAAGGTGCTGACAGAGATAATTAACCTTCAATAATGTTACAATAAATTCTATTTAATCTCTTAATCCACGTTTTTCTGTGCAAAGTTATTTTTCAAAAGTGACAACTGCATTCAAAGTGGCCTAAAATGGCTGCACTGCTATTTTTAAACACAATTTTTCTGAACAAGAAACAAAACGCTTATAAATTATTATCAGGTCCTTTTAGTCTACAACCTGTTGTCACATGTTTCTAGGCAGGAAATCTGATTCTCTACAAGCTCTCTATAAAGATAGCAGCTAGAGAAGGAACCCTGAGATTAGGAAGGAAGAAGGGAAAAATACATTATTATGTCACTGAAGCTTTCTGTGTCCATACATAATAAAGTGTTCACACGCTCACCAAAACCAAGAGTATCTTGGAGGCAGTCCTTCACAGGCCAAACTGCAACGCTAACAATAGAAATTAATCTGGTTTGATTTTACAAGGTTAGCAGCCAGGTTTTTAAGGCAATTCTTCAGTGCTACCTGACTGAAGTCAAAGGACTGCATTTGACACCTGCTGATGTTCATTAGCAGTGAAGTTTTTTTCTACTCGAGCGTGGAAATTCATGAAGAAAGTACACAACTGCCTTTGATGAAAATGAAATCAATAAGGGTATTAAGTCATATTTGAATTTAATTTACTTAAGAATAAAAAGCTCCTCCAGTCAAACACAGATTTCTCTTCTAAATTTCACTTATTTTTTGAATGATTCATCAATACAGGCTAACACTTCTCAGTGCAATTTCTATCGTAATATTATCACTTCTTTAAAGTGCATTGCTTTGGCATACTCAGATCCAGACTCAGCTCTTCTCTACAGAGCAGTTCTCCTGACATTCCCACACAGAGTAAGAACTATTTCTTAAATAACCAGTTGACCATTGTGACATCGGAAGTCTTTTTCATAGAAGATTCTAATCAATCAGACATGAAATGTTATTTAGACAACACTCACATATTTTGCTCTCCTTGCCCTCAGAACAAGTACCAATTTCCATAGGCACCACATTCTGAAGTGGACTTTTTTCTATTCCTCCTGTCCATAAGGAAAAAATTGCAACAGAACTCATCCCCACTATTTCCATCTCCAGTCCTGCTCCCATCCCATAAGCAGGGCACTTACCTGTAGAGACCAAGAAAACGGAGTTTCTTCATGAGGGCATAGTAGGTGTTGTGAGGAGGATACCAGCTGTAGACCTCCTCCCTTTTGGCTATAGGCTGCTCACTGAATAACTTTACAACTTTCATGGATTTTGAGTCAGTTGGCCTGACAACTTCTCCAAATATCTGAGCACTCAGACGGGCCATTCGAAGGGCATAATTGGAAACGTTGGACATTTCCCAAAGATGAGTGGGCACACATACACAGCTGGACCTTCCTGCAAAAGGAAACGAGATCCACGAGATGCCTGAGCACTGCAAGCTATCCCATAATTAAAGCAATCAAACCAACTTATTCAGATGTGTACACTGCACACATCTGAAATAATACATTCCTTCCACAAAAATCGGTCTAATTTCAATACACACAATAGTCTTACGTATAAAGAATATGCCAATACTACTTTACACTCTAACTAGGACATTACAGAATTACCTATGCCGAATCACCTTCGCACCATGCCTAGTTTTTCTTAGCAGTTCTCACCAGCCTGCTAAGAGTTACCTTTTATACTCTAGGCACAGAAGCAATTACAGAGTGGACTCCATGAAAAATGGTGTCCCACTGTGACGCTTCTGACTGCCACAAAAGCACAAGACACAACATAAATATACTGGGAAAGCAGCCTGGAAGTTTTGCTCTTGAAAATTTCTCACTCTGTTTAAAGCACTGCATGAATTCTGCTACAGAAATGGCCTATTAACTGTACTGTTTCTCTGTATCAGTCTGAACTACCAATTGATTAAAGACATCTGTCCTATCTCAATTCCATTTCCTTAACTATTTCTACCAGCTGTCTCTCCATTCTCTTCGCACATCTCCTTACACCTTTTCATTTTATAAAAGGAAAGAAATAATTTCTCCACATCAGATTTTTATTTTTTTTTTGCCCCCTAAAATCTCACATCAGCAGCTTCCCATTCTTTTTAGCTGTCTCCCACCTAAAGACATCTTGCAGCAGAAAGAAGTGTGTGAAGGCACAAGCAACTGTTACTGGGCCCACAGAGACAGCATCCACAGTCTCTCAGAGGGCGGTGGAAAAGGGTTCCCTCCCTGCTAGTTAGCTTCCTCGTGAAAAGTGATGTAAGGCACAAAATGCAATCCTACCCAGGAGTTTTAGAAAAATTCACTTTTGGGATGCAATGGACAAGAATAAAACTTCCATGACTCTGTACTTGAAGCTACACATTGTCTGTAATGTGTCTGTTTGAATAAATGATGACATAAGTCTCCAGAAAAATCAAGTGGAGTTTGTTCGCTATGCACGCCATGCTTCCTTTACATTTTTAAATTCTTGTTTTCAGAAGCACTGCACAGCTGATTCCAGAAGATAAGCACAAAAAAATGAGAGAGCATGGAGCTGGGACTACAGCAGGACAGGGCCAAGTTCATCTTAGCGTGGTAATGGGGAACTATTTCTTAACAACACAAATCCAAAATATTTGTAACCTCTCTTACACACAACTACCCTGGAGTACTGATGTACAACTGCCTCCTTTCAGTCACTCTTGTTAGCAAAGCACTACAAGAGCAAGAAGAAAATAGAGCATGAAAGCAACACAGGTATTCTGAGCCAAAGAGAATAACGGCAAGAGCAACAAAAGGGAAGGTCAAGTGTCAGAACCTCCAAAATAAGGCAACGAGCCTAACAGGAAAAGACAGCTTTCAAATGATGGCAGGGTGGCACTTCAGCTTGTGCATCTATTACACAGGGGAATGATCGCTGACTTGCTAAATCAATCATTTCAGCAAATCCAGTCCTAAATCCTACATATAGAGATAAAACAAATCATCCCCAAACTGACATCACTGCTCTGAAAGTATTACCAGACTGTACTCAAATGCAAAGCTCACTTAATCTCTTCCAATTGCAGCCTGAAGATTAAAATACCTTGAGCCCCTACATGACGCAGAGCAGCGGTTTGGGGACCTGCTTTTCACTCAGAATCATTGAATTGCTCAGGTTGGAAAATACCTTAAAGATCATCTAGTCCAACTGCAACCTAGCCCTAACTAACTACCCTCCACTAAATCATGTCCCTGAGCACCACATCCAAATGGTTTTTAAACACACCCAGAGATGGTGACTCAACCACCTCTCTGTGGAGCCTATTTCAGTGCTTAACCACCCTTTCTGTAAAGAGGTGTTTCCTGATATCCAACCTAAACTTACCCTGGCACAACTTGAGGCCATTTCCCCTTGTTCTGTCACCTGTCACCAGAGAAAAGAGAACCCCTAAAGAAATCCAGACCTCGGTTAATCACTGCCAGTCCAACAACACGTGAGAAATGAGGCTGCACTCCATAACACCCTGCTTCAGGGTGACCTCAGATTCCGTGGCACTGCTGGGTAGGCAAACCTTGTTATTTCTTGTCCTGCGTGGTTTTTCTTCCTAACACACCAGCTTGCCTCAAACACCTCCTTCCGGCTCAGCACAGACCAGCACCACCCCTTTCCCCCTCCACAGCAGCCTCACATTCCCACAACCAGCGACACACAGCCCGCCCCGGGAGCGCGGTCCCCACGAGCCGCAGCCATCACAGCCCAGCCCCCAGCAAGCCCCGGCCGCTCCGCCCCTCACAGCCCCTCCTGCTCCCCGCAGCCCCTCGCTCAGGCGGGGGCTCGGTCTGAACGCTGCGACACCCGGGGACGCTCAGCATAGTGCGGATCTCCCGCGCAGCAATTAACCGCTCACCCCTCACAGCCCCGCAACGGCCAGCGGGCAGAGCGGGCCGGAAAGCGGAACTCAGAGCAATGCGCATGCGCGGTGTTCATCCCGCCCCGGAGGGCGGTGCGTGACCTCCGTCTTGAGTGTGTAGTGCTTCTGACCAGTGATTACCTTTTTAAACTCAACGAATCCCAAAATATTTTATTCCGTATAAACATGAGTAACTGAAATATGTCGTATAAAATGACAGACTTTATGTAACATATGTTTTAGAAACTCCACTGAGACACTTCTGCTGCCCCTGTGAGGCTTTGCAGGTCAAACAGACTGAGGGAGCTGATCCTTCTCCTCTGCCCGGCTGTAGGGAGCATGCTTTAGGGTTAGGGCCTTTCCAATCCACAATGATTCCGTGATTCTTTGTAATCATTATTTATTCATTTACACATTTACAAAGGAGAAGTTTAACCCTGCTAGTCCCACTGAGGCGGTGGCCTCTTGCAGGGTGGCTGTGGGTCCTGGTCACTGTCAGCCCTCCTCTTAGGGGGCCGCCGT